TCTTGCACGAAAACCCTCGGTATGTGCCCCGAGCACTCATTTGCTACTTAGGACTCCTTTGCTACCTAGGGAATGTTTGGCTGAGATTTCACAACTCCAGCTGTTGATACAAGGAAGGGAACTCGATTTCTGTACGGAAGCAAAAGCCCCGTGGGGGGAAGCAGCTGTGCAGACTTGCCCGGCCTGTGCTCTGCGCAAGCTGGCGTTCTCGAGGGAATTATATTGGCTTTGCACATAGCTCTCGGTCAGAGCTGCGGATTTAAACCACGTATAGCGAGCACTAGCCTCTGTACCCAGGGCAGTGCCACCGTGAAGGTGTGCATGTCAGATCCCTCGAGAGATCACACTGGTACCAGTTAAACTCTTGCAACTTTCTTGTATATTGGCACAGGTCAGACCCCGGGTGGGTGGGGCTGCGGGGGCTGTGCTGCAGCCCCTCTGTGATGACAGCTGTCCCTTTGCTTGCAGGTTTTACATCTGCACAAGACCCAAGATCGAGAACCATGGCATCCATCCCATCCAGCGGCTCGCTCATGGCCACACACAACTACTACCGAAGTAAGGACGCACGCTGCACGCTGGGGGGGGCTCGGGGTGGTGGGAGCGGGCAGGATGCTCTGCCAGGCTTGGGGGGATGCGGCTCCAGCAGAGATGAGGCTGAGCTCCGCTGTGTGCTTGCAGCTGAAGCCCTAGGAGAGCTGGCAGGATCCTTGCTGAGAAAGGGGGGCAGCTGGCAGCCATCCCTCCTGCTCCTGCGACCCTCCTTTGGGCCACCGCAGCCCCTGCCCGGTGGTACCGGCTGAGGATGGGTCTGGCAAACTCCTTCACTTGTTATTAGGGATGTAGGAGGTGATGGCTGCAAATGCATCTTGTGCTCTTGCTGTGGAAGTGACCTGCAAAACCAGTCTGGGCAATGGTAGCTACTGGGACCTCTCTAGGGGAGAGGCTTCCTTGTTTAATGGATTGCCTAAACCAGAGGGAATTAAATTATTCCCCTTGAGCTGAAGATCGTAACAGGCTTGTAGCAGTTGGACTAAAGCTGCATGGATTATATGCAGGAATCTGCATCCTCTTGGCCTCAAGTAATCTGCAAAGGCTTTGCAAGGTTTGCATACCGATGCAAAGCCATTAAATAATGTCCTTGGGGTTGCAAGTGTTTTCCTGTAGAGGTGTTCAGGTGCTTTTTTGCTGTGTGCTGTTGGCCAGCTTGTTATCTCTCCAGTATCTCCTTCCCAGTGTTTTTATTGACCTGGCTCTAAAGTTGGGCAAGTACCGGAGCGAGATAGCGATGACACCAAGCCGTGTCACCCCAGGGACAGCCACACCGAGGCCGTGCTCTGCTCTTCATGGCATAACCGAGGGTCAGTGGTGGCTCTGATGGCCATGATTTCTCCACAGGACGCCTGAGCTCCACATCCAGCAACAGCTCCTGCAGCAGCTCGGAGTACTCTGGGGAGGTCATCCCCCACCCCCCGGGTAAGTCCTGCCCGCCTTGGGGCCACGGGAGGACTTTGCTCCAACCCCTCCACTGCAAATCTTACTGGAGGTGTCCCAGCCTCAGATAGGGGATGAGACGGGGGTGGTGGTGGGGCTGCTGGGGTGGCACTGACCCAGACCTTCCCTGGCACGTGTTGTCCCCCAGGTCTGCCCAAGTCCGACCCCGGCCACTGGTGGGCCAGCTTCTTCTTCGGGAAGACAATTCACCCGGCCATGACAACTGTGTCGGAGTTCCCGGAGAGGTGAGAGCTTTCCTTGGAGGAGATGTTATGGGGGAGCACCAATGCAGCACCCGGGGCAGTTGGGGACATCCCTGCTGCATCCCCCAAGGTGCATCCTGACCCGATGGGTCTTCATGCCCAGGGCACCCACTCCTTTGCTGCAGAAATAAATACAGAGCAAAATGCCTCGACATTGCCTGACCCTTTCTCCGCTCTGTCCTGCAGCTTGGAAGCACTGCGGGTGACGACAGGACCGATGGCATGTGGCTTGGTGCCAGCC